GGAAGAAACTGGTGCTGCAAACACCACCGCGGGAAGGAAGGAAGGGCCAATTCGCATCTCCTGCCAGCCTGGGGACGTTGGGGACAAGCTCTCGTACCTGCTCCCAGCAGCTCTGCTGGCTGCGAGCAGCTGACGGTGCTGGGAGCCGGCAGGTCCCGGCTCCCGCTGCTGCGGGGTGGGATTTGCACGGCAGGGGTGATGCCAACCGCATCTGAGAGCACCGAGAGCGCCCTTTGATGTGCTCAGGCACACGGGCCCCAGCGGGGCTCTGCTCTGAGCTCCGGCAGGCAGCCCAGCCAAGGAGGGAGCGCAGCAGTGCTCCCAGCCCCTTCCCACTCTCCCAGCTTCTGTGGGGCGTCGCTGCTCTGGGTTTGACAGGAGCTCGCGTTCTCCCAGCGCGTTCTCCTGACTTTCACAATAATGTATTCAGCAGAACTGGATACATTTCAAACCAGCTATTATACCACGGTATGTTCCAACACAAATATATGCAGTGTAGCGAAGCAACAATTCCGCGAGCAGCGCACAGACTGCAGAAACCCCACATTTCCTACCCCGGACAGAGCAGCCACACCTTCACCACGGGAATTTATTAGAGAATAAACCTCACAAAAACCAAAGCGGGAAACCACCCCACTTTGGAATCAGCTGCCCAGCAGCACAGCACACGAGTTGTCAGCACTCCCCTCTGCCCCGGCCCCACCTGCCTCCATCCCAAGCACACAAACCCTGCTGCAGGCAAGGCACGAACACAATGCCTCTCCCTTCCAGATGGAATGCCGAGTAAAGAAGTGGGAATTTTCCCCTCTTCCCTCCGCCCCACAACAAGCAAGATGCAACACAAATTGCAGTGAGGCGAATGCGGATGGCTGGGGTTTGCTTTTGCAGGAGCTGCTGGAGCGTGGGTGGCAGCGTCCCCTCATCCCGGCTGCTGGCACGGAGTTAAAGCCTCTCCCAGAAGAGGCACCGAGCAGACCCAAACTCCTCGGGCAAATCCAGCTTCTCCTGCGGCACTGCCGTGCCCAGCCCAGCTCAGCCTCAGCGCTCCTCAATGCCAGCACAGCTCCCGGATGGCTACACCCCAAGGAATCCTCCTCACAGTATCGAAACTTGCCATTTAAACCAGCAAACCTGCCGTGGCACAGCTGCAGGAGCCAGAATGAACCGGAGAGTTGGAGTGCGGGGAGGAAGGAAAGGAGGGATCCTTCATAATGGATCTGTGAACCGCGGGCTTCAATTCAATTTAGCGAGCCATCAATCAAGCTGCGGGTGTCAGAGCGAAGGGCCGGAGCCGGGACGGTTTCAGTAGAGGGCACTCAAGTCCCAGAAATCCACGTTTCCCAGGTATATTCCCTCTCTGATGTTTTAGGAGCCGACTTCGGCACATGAATCTCGGTAATGCGAGCGCTGAGCCTCATAACTCAGATTGATTGTGGTTCTATTAGACCTGATGCATATAAATCTAAACAAAACACATGAGGATGGAGCTAATTCCAACGAACCAGTTTAGATACCATTACAGAAATAAAGAGAAGCCTCTTTTTCTTCATTAGTATTGAAAAATGCTGTAGCTATAGAAATGCTTATGTCTCTTTCTGCCAGGTTCATAGTTCTGCTGCTGCTCTAAAGCATTAGTCTGATTTGAAAATGTATTTCGTCAATCAGCATTTTCCTCTAGATATTAATAATCTCAACACTATTTTCCACTTTTGCAAGTGGTTCCCTTTCATATTCAAAAATAAGAAGTCTTAAATCAGTGTCTTGAGAACACCCATAAACCCACAGCTTTATTTGTAGGTGAGAGGACCGAATTTTTTATGTCTATAAAACCCCCATAAGATGTACACAATTTTGAATCTGACCTGTGTAATACCTGGAGCTCTAAATACCACAAATATTCATTGTAAAAACAGCAGTATGAAAAAATAACATCCAAATGTCTTCTCAACAAACTCAAAATAACGAATCAACTTCTCCTCACTGGTACACTATGTTCACAAGTTATAAATATACCAAAGTTTGCATTAATTGATACACTCTTAAATGATGAATTACCACATTAAAGCTATTTTCACAGCACTTATGAACTGGGCAAAGATCTTGTATTTTTAGCATCGCTGTAACAAGTCATCCAAAGCCAAAGCCTTTCTGCTACCTTTGATTGTCCTCAAGGCACAGCCAAGGATTCCTGAAGGAAGTCCTGACTGGTGTAAATCCTGCTCCCCAGGCCAGCATCCCACTGGGCAGCACTCACCTGTGCAGCAGCACTGAGCCAGAGCTCTGGGCACATGAAGAGCGCTACCAGCCTTCCAGGTTCTTCCTTCTTCTGTCCAGCCATCCTGCCTGTGCTGTAATTGTCCATCACAACCTGGCTCTGGCTCCAGGGGAAGTCTGGCCTGGCTGCTGAAGGTCATTGCTCACAGGTCTGCAGCCCCTCCATGGGCAGCAGGTGAAATTGAGTCTTTTATAGGGCAAAAAAAGCCCCAAGCAGCGATGGTGCAACACCCAAGAGAAGTTTCCAAAATGCCCTCTCTGTAATCCTGCCACAGAGCAGCCCTGGGATGCCCTGGGTGCTGCCCAGAGAGAGGAGCACTGCCAAGTGGCATGAGAGGGACGGGCTGGGGACAGTGTGGGAACACAAAGAGAGGGAGACATAGCAATGGTGGGTTAGGGATGGTGTGGGGATGTGGGAGTACAAAGGGAGACACAGCCATGTGGGCTGGGGACAGTGTGGGAACACAAAGAGAGGGACACAGCCATGGTAAGCTGGGGAGAGTGTGGGGATGTGGGAATGCAAAGGGAGGGAGACACCGCCATGTGAGCTGCTCTGCTGAACACCTCAGGTTTCTTTGGGAAGGAGAAGCCATGAAAGCCCACGAGCAGCCCTGGAGTGCTCCTCTGCCTGTGCCCAAGCTCGACTGATGTGGTAATTTCTGATACAGGGCTGTTCCTGTCCTGCCCTCTCTGACCTACGTGCAGGAGATGAGGACTGTCCATGACCTCTACACACCCATCTGCCACTAATCAAATAATTTAATACAAAATAAACTATTTGTGCTGCTCTGCAGTAGGATCCAGAGGCTGAAGCTGAGGTTGGAGCCTTATCAGTGCCTGGTACTGACAGAAAGGCAGGAAGCAGCATTCCAAACTAACAGAATATTTCCTCCCAGCTACAGTTTAATTTAAACGCTCCACAAAATCAAACCTCTACTCCATGTGCTGGAGTCTGCAAAGAGCAAAGAACAGCCACAGCCGAAACAGCCCTTTTTACCTGCTCACTCCCAATAGCTTTGTGGGGCTTTTTTATCTGCAGGTGCAAAGAGTCACCAGGTTGTGACATTTAATTTTATAACAAGTTCACAGAAACAGCTGTCCTTCACTTAAGCAGTATTTAAAGAAATTTTCTTCCATGCCCTTTTGCTAAATCTTATCCGTGTTGGTGTCAGGAGGGATAAAAATATCCTTAACACGAGCCAGTCTTTTCTGTAACCGTCTTAGCGCAGGCAGGGAGGTTCGGGCTGGGAGCTGGAGCCTCGGCCCTGCCCACAATCAACACCAACAATCCCCCTCCTCTGAGACCGAGCTTGTGGCAGCGCCTGGAGGAGGCCGAGCAGCCCCTCTGCCTCGGGGCTGAGGAAGGAGTAAGACGAGGAAGAGGAAGGAGTAAGACACAGTGCTGAGACCCCAGGCCACGCTCAGCTGCACCTTCCCAGCGAGGCACCGGCCACACCACGGCCCAGGGAGGCACCGAAACATCCCCGGGAGGGGCTGGTCCTGCCCCGGCCGTGTAGCCAGAGACTCTTCCAGCTTTTCCTTATGATCCCGTGCTGATGACGGCTGTCACACTCCCCGGCCAATCCCCCACTGCTGCTGCTGTACCATCAGCCAGAGCCCAGGCACCACTGCAGTGGGCACGCAGGGAGTCCCCCGCCTGTCCACCTCCCCGCAGCGGTCCCGCACTCGCTGTTTGCTGGCAGAGGCGACACGCAGCAACTTCTCTTTGAGTTGTAGATCAATAATGACTTGCAGTGTTTCTCCTCCAGTCCACACACCCCGGCTCCAGGAGGCTGCTCCGGGATGGGGCTCTGGAGCAGAGTGCAGGACGGTGATCAGCATTTCAGGATGCCGAGCTTGCTGCTGGCAAGGAAAATTAAAAAGATGAGCCGATACAGAGTAATAGTATGTTTGTAAGAAAATTAAAGATTTGCTCTTCAGCTGTTCCAGGCTGGAGTTAGCAGACAGCTGGCAAATGGGAACGATTGGAAATGATGGAATAGATCAAATTATTTAAATGAGAAAAAAAGAAATTCACCCTAGCCTGGCCCAGCACGTTGACAAAGCAGCTCCCGGTCCGCTGCACGGGCAGCCCTTTGTCTCTGTCACCGAGGTCATTAAACTCCCGGCTGCGGAGCGCGGGCCGGGCGCCCGCCGCGGTAGCCCTGCTGCAGCGGCCCCTGCCCCTCCCGCCCCCGGGACGCCGGCCCCAGCCCCAAACCCCCTCCCCGGCCTCTCCCGGCGCCCGCCGGCGAGGACACCGGGACCCCGGGGTCATAAGGGACCCCCGAGCGCTTGGGGGACACCGGGCACCCCGCCATCTGCGTGACAGGGCTCCGTCGGGGGCAGAGGGAACAGAGACGCTGCCGGGACCCCCGGGGCCCTTTCGCCATCTCCCCCCGCCCCGCGGTGCCCGCCGAGGGTCCCCTTGGCATCCCGCCCCGCGCCCGCCGCCGGCGCTGCCCTCGCCCCGGGGGAGCGGGCGGGTGCCGGGGTGTCAGCGGCGTGTCAGCGTGTCGGGTGTGTGTCGGGTGTGTGCCGGGGTGTGTGTGTGTCGGGGGTGTGTGTCAGGGGGTGTGAGTGTGTCGGTGTGTGCACGCTCCACTCCGGGGCTTTGCGCGAGCCGCGCATCAGCGGTAGGAGGGGACAGAGCCGCTCCTGGGGCGCACCGGCAGCCCCGGCTCCGCAGGTGCCGCCCGACCGGCACCGGCACCGCACGGCTCGGAACGGCCCGGCTCGGCTCGGCTCGGCACGGCGCGGAAAGGAGCGGCCGGAGCTGTGGCTGCCGCGGGACGGGCCGGCGCGGCCGCTCTAAGATGTGCCATGAGCCGCCCGGCCCCGGCGCCGAGCGGCCGCTCCGCCTGAGCCCCGGGCAGCAGCCGCCCGCGTCCCCGCTGGCCCTGGGGCCGTAGGGCCGCGCCGGCCCGCGACCTCCCCAACGATGCCCCATCTCTGGCCGGCGCTTCGCCGCGTCCTCTGGGAATACTGGGCAGCGCTCCTGGTCGGCGGCTTCTGGGGACAGAGCTCGCACGGGATGCCGCATGTCATCCGGATCGGTAAGGACCGGCGGCGACGGAGGGAGAACTTCGGGGCCGGGGCGGAGAGAGCGCTGCCCGGGGCCGCGGCGGGGGATGCGGTACCCGGGGCTGCGGGATGCGCTGTCCGGTGCCGGGGCGGAGGTTCCCCCGGTGAAGGATGCCCTGGCCGGTGCCGGGGCGGCGCGGCGAGGCGGGGGCTGTGTCCCGGAACGGAGCGGGCAGCGCTCTCGGTGCGAGCAGCCGCCCCGGGCGAGGTGCGAGGGGGGTGCTGGGCACCTTGCGAAGAGGAGAGGAGAGTGCTGTCCCTCTGGAGAGTGGGGTGCTGATTCCCCGGGGAAGGGGGACGCTTCGCTCTCGGAGAGGAAGAATGCTTTGCCTCTGGAGAGGGAGGATGCTGAGCCCCCAGATGGGGGATGCCGAGCACCCGGAGAGGGGGGATGCTGATTCCCTGGAGAAGGAGGATTTTTGTTCACAGAGATGGGGGATGCCGAGCCCCCGGAGAGGGGGGATGCGGAGCTTGTGACGAGGAGGGCTGCGGTACCCGGTGCGAGGAAGGCTGTTGAGCCTGCGGCAATAGGGTGCTGTGCAGGGGTGCTTTGACCCAGGGCTGGATGTGCCCAGAACAAGGGACAGACAGCCCGGGGGGGCCCGCGGCACCGAGTCCCGCTGCCTGGAGGATGCCAGTGGGCTGGCTCAGCTGCAGCTGCTGCTGAGGACCAGGCGTGTTTCATTAAATTGCTGAGGTTCTGGGGAAAATTAATTTTTAATAATGTTACATAAAGTAATTGCACAGATAACATCCTGGGAATGAGTCTGCGATCTTTCTTTTTCTAATTAAACGAGATACTTGTTTTAATCATGTCATGTAAAGAACGGCGCTGATTTCTGTTACATCCCATGCACTTTTACCATTGGTACACATTCCCAGGGATTTGCTGTCTGCCCACTAAAAATTACAAGGACAGGTTTACCTGCCTTTTGACGGTTCAAATTTTAACTCAGAAAAACCAGTGAAAACGGAATAGATTTGTGAATAATTTTAACTGGAAAAAAAAAAAAAAAAAAAAAAAGGTTCCTACTTATGCTAGTGCAACTGCACAGCAGCAATGTGAAAGCCAGAAAGAGAAAAATGCTGCTCCTGAGGGATAGGTGCTTTTTGAAGTGAAACACTGTCACCTCCAGCACGGCTTGAAGTGTCTGCATGGCCCAGATCATCTCATGGACAAGGGCTTGATTCCTGCAGGGTGAGCATCTGGTCTCCCCCAGACTTCCGTGAATGGGGCACTCCAGGCAGATGTTATCCCGTGCACATTGTGGTGCCAGAAATATTGGTGGAAAAGGTTAATGGATCTGCCTCCGGGCCTGGGGCCCTGGCGGCTGCTGAACTTTCACCAGAGCCAAGCTGTTTAGTATGCTCAGCCTCCGCCTGGAACAGCTGGAAATGTTTTGTGCCACACAAACCCGCTCCCAGGAAAGCTCCGTCGCTGCTGACAGGGCGCGCTGGGCTTCGCCAGTCCCACTGCAGGAGCGGGGAGGAGGTGTCCTGCTGGGAGAGCCCCCCCGTGTGTCACCAGCCTGTCCCCAGCGAGCACCGCAGTGCTGTGGCGGAGTTTCCCCTCCCCGGCAGGTCCCAGGGCTCAGATCGCCTTTGGGACCGACAGCCGAGTGCGGGGGCTGTGGCAGCTGGGCTGCCGGGCTGGCAGCTCCTCCTGCTTTGGGCTTGGCAGCGGCGGGCCTGATTCTTGGTGGCCAGAGCCGGCTGCTGCCAGGCTGGCGCTCCGAGGAGGCGGCGAGGGGCAGCTGCAGCTGTGGCAGATGCTCGCGGGGAACGGGCTGAGGCCGCTGGGGCTGGCGGCTGCTGAGACTCCAGGGAACGCTCGGCTGGCTCATGGGGGATATTCAGGCTCAGGACTATCCCTGGGGGCTCTGTGGAGATGTTTAGTCTCGACTCTCAGTGCCTCAGTTGTCCTGAAAATGGATTTTCTAGGCTCAAAGCAATTGCACAAAAGGACAGAGGAGATTTCAATGCAGAGATTGCTGCTAGCCCTCCACAAAAGCACTTGGGTCTCCTGCAGCTCTGCTCCCTTTCACCGGGTAGGGAGGGAGGGATGGAGGCAGGTAGGCAGGGATGGAGGCAGGGAGGGAGAGATGGAGGCAGGCAGGGATGGAGTCAGGCAGGGAGGGATGGAGGCAGGGAGGGAGGGATGGAGGCAGGGATGGAGGGATGGAGGCAGGCGGGCAAGAAGGGAGGAAGGGTTGCCCGCTGGAGGAGCACAGCTGTGCCACTGCCAGCACTGCCGTGCCTTCCACAGGAATGGTCTTGCTTTACCTGCTGAGAAATCCCACAACAGTCAGCCCCTCATCGAGCCACCTTCTTGATCAGTAAAGTAAGAAACTTAAAAGATTAGAAAAAGGCTTTAATCGGGGCTGCAGGGAGATCTGTGTTTACCTTCTCTCTCAGCTAAAACTGGCATCATTTTGTGACCTCTTTTTCAGCCCACTGAAAAACTGCAGCTTCTTGCCCTGCATTAATTTGTGCAAAGCTTCCCTGGCTTTCAAGTAATTATTTTAATTATTAGGTTATGCCGAGAAGTGCAGAACACTTAAGTAACTATTGGTTTAGCACTGAAAATCAAACCAGAGAGAAAGCAGGTAACTTCTCAAAGCTCTCTTTTTTCCCTGTGAAGCTGACTATTAAAATAAATACAGGGAGAGATATCTAAGAAATGGAAGAAAAAGCCAAAAGCGCTCTTTCTCCCACCAGTAAAATATAAATATTTAATCTACACATCTAAACATAATCTATACATGCACTCGTACAAAGAAAATCTGTGCCTTGTTACAGGATGCGCTTTTTAAAGCAGGAGTTGGTATCTGAAGCTTATTCAACAGCTGCTCGGTTATTACGCAATCTGTTAAATATTTGAAAAAGCCGTATCAGAAAACACCACCCGAGTGCTCAATTCAGCTCCGAGTTCCCTGGAGCAGAGGCAGAGGAGGGTGCTGCTGTGAGGAGCTGCCCGTGCTCACCCCCCTGAGGGATCCTGCGCTGCTGCCCGCCCTCACTGCGGCTGAGCTCCGGCACATCACACCTGGTACCACGAGCTGCTGAGCATTTGCAACATCGCAGCTAAAAGGAGTGCCAGCGAGGTGTTATGGGGCCGTGGAGAGCCCATTTGGCTAACCTACACTCGGATTAAAAAGCAGATTAAACGCACAGACAGAGCCTGATGCCATTTTGTAGAGCTGGTGGCACCGTCCCTAACAAAGCAGGGCGGGATGGCTGGGATGGGCAGCGCAGCTGGAGCAGGACTGGTGGCTCCAGCAGACCCATTCCAGCCTTCTGCTTTGCTGAAGCATCATCAGGAATTCCTCTGAGTGACTCTTTTGAGGGATGGTGTGTCAGTGACACACACGTGCGGATCGGATGCCAATGGGATGGGATCAGTAAATTGTCAAGAACAGACCCCTGGCACTGGGCAGGCAACAGGAGCTGGATTTGGGGGGTCCTGAGTGGGCTTGCACTCAGGTGCTGCTGAGAAGGTGACACCACGCCGCCCTGCTGCCATCATTGCCCTTGGCCACCCCACTCCTGCCAGTAATGCCCTTGATGTGCCCCCTCTGTGGGCAAGGGGACAGGCAGGGTCCCAGCCCACCCCTGGGTCAGCCCAGCCCCAGCTGTGTGCCCCTCTGCAGGAGGAGTGTGCCAGGCCAGGGAATGGGTTCATTTTCCTTGCTGCATTTTAAAAGGCATCACCTCCACATCTGGGTCCTCACTTTTGTGCCAGGTTTTTCACTGAGGTTCTATTCCTGCTGATATTTGTGGCAATAATCCCACTTCAGGCATGTGTGACAGTCCCACTCCTGTATCTCTGAAGTCGCTGTGAGCAGGATCAGTCTCCAGCAAAGCTTTTAAACAAACAACCCTGCGTGAGGAATTTATCGGATTTTATTTCTTGTAGTGTCTCTCTAAGCTGTGTTTGCATAGAGAAGGGGTCAGAGCATTGATTGTTTGTATGATTTGCAAGTAACACAGAAAATACAATCAAATTGGAATCCGTGTGAGAAAAATATCATTGATTATTTACACAAATACATAGAAAACAAATTCTGTGGATAATTATCCTGCTCTCTGTGATTGGCTTTTCTGAGGCTTATTATGCCTGTCAGGAATTTTATTTTGAAACCACCTTCCCACACTCTGCAAATGAAGTTGTATTTTTAAAAATAAAGCAGAAACAGGCTTTTCCAGGCTGAAAAGGCAGCGCCCAAGGGCTGGGAGCTGCACAGCCATGGGGGACATGAATGCTGGAGTGGGAGTCCTCAGCAAGGCAGCTCCAGGGTTTTTCTGCTCAGGTCGTGCCTGGTGACCAGAGTGGCCAGTGTTCTCTGGGGAGGCTGGCAGGAGATGGCACCAGGGTGGTTTTAAATCATTTATTGCCTTTGTAGCTTCTCCTGCATTCCCCTGGGCATTTCTGTGACCGTGCACCCACTGCTCAGGCATTTCATGGTTGATAAAGTTATTTCAGGTCACGAGACGCTTTGTGTGTCAGATAACACATTCTGGTAATTTCAGTAGGATAGGAGGGCGGCAGTGTAAATTGTTTGGTGGTAAATGAATTCTGAATACATTTGAATAACAATGTTAACTCTTTATCGCAGAACAGTCTAATTATTTGATCTTGGCATTCTCTCGAGAACTTCATACAGGAAATTAAGATCAAACCACATAGCAGAAAAGAATAGACTCTCATTTATCACGAGGCAGGAGAGACACCAAAGCAGACAGCACCGTGCTGGGCTGGTGCCTCGGGGCACTTGGACACCCTCGGGCTGGGGGCAGCAGGGTGTGGGCACGGCTTGAGGGCTGAGGGAGCCTTGGAGGGCTGGTTGTGCATGGAGAGAGGTGGCTGCACATCTCCTGACACTGGGACACGGTGACACACACCGGGATACCCTGACACACCCTGGGACACCGTGACACACACCAGGACACCGTGACACACACCAGGACACAG